ACCTACGCCGCAGGCTCGATGTTAGCCTCTATACTTTATGCGTTGGTATCATGCTCCGTATCATCTCATACCTCTCGCGGTCACGGACGCGATTGCAATATCATTGGTCCGAGTTGTTTCGCTCGCTGCTGTCCCTTATCCGCTTTCTCACTACCTACGCCTCTGACCTCAAGGGGTTATCCCACTTCGAATCTCTCCTGGACCTAGTCGTGAACCTATTAGCTCTTTCCCTCTCAGCAGGAGAGGCCTTTCTTCCCACGCCTGCCGCCTATGATGACCTCTTCTACAAAGTTGTAGAGAGCGGCGAGGTTCTCGTAAAATTCCGCGACACCTACCGCCTGTCAACCCGACCGTCAAATTCGATAGGCACGCTTATCAGCGTGAGTACGCATTACAAAACAATGTTGAACACGGATAGTTCCAAAAAGAACCTTACTAGTACTGAGGTGGCGGAGGTGATCAAGCAGGGCTACGAGACGTTGAGCATACAGGCAAGGGAAGGGCTTGACGGTTGGGAAAGGTATCGTGAAGCTGACGAACGGACGCTTCTTAAGAAGATGGCACGGGCGACGGTGTCGGATGTTCAGATCATCGTCCAGGCTTGATGTTTTACAGCGGCACGATCAGACTACGATGTGGATTAGAATGTATTGGTATGACGTTAGAAGCTAAAAAGCTTGAAAGGTATTAGCAATGTAGTATCTGGTTAATGCGGATTGCTATCGAGTTACTAGCTCACGACTCAGCTTAGAAAATCATAATGTGAAATCGGCAAAATGAGTCCCGTACCATACGAGGATCCATGATTCCAACATCACGCCAAGAATATTGACAAACTTGTAGGACTTTTGAAGGAGCCCAACCGTCGACGGACGCTGAAACCGGGGGTGTGATAGAATAAGGTAGTATCGCTAAGGTTCCATCACAGCCCGCATAGAGTAACGATGAACTGCTAATAGTGCGAAAAATTAAGGACATATCTGGAATTAGACATGAATATGAGCCAAAAATCGTTACGCATTCCGATATCAAGATAGGGAATATTATTATTTTCTATTATTTCCCCTAGCTTTCGTACGTCTATCTCAACCCTTCCTTTTATTTTAATTACCCTTTCGATAGAGCTCCAAGACCACATCTCAAAACTTTCTACCAATACCCCTTATATCGTCACATGGTGAGCATATGGTGCACGTCTAACGGACGCCTACCACATAAACAACCGGATTAATCCAGCCAGGTGGGCTGTTTCCAGAGCGGTGCTCAGGGTGGGATAGCAATTCTTCATTTTGGTGCGTTGTTCTTATTCGTGGACCCAAGCTTCTGGTTTCGTGGATCGACATACATTATTGCTGCGTCTATTAGTCAAATGGGGATAAAATTCTGCCATCTTTAGTCCCCACGATATCCGGTAGGATTTATAGGCGATATGTACGTTCCGCCTTTAGCGACTACCGACAAGGACTAATACACTCGAAGTGTTCGGGACATCCAATACTAAGTTGCAGTCATTTCGGTGTGGTTTCGTATCTCTTAGTCTGCGTCAGGTCGCGAGTCTCCATTGTTGTATGCAAGAGCGCTATGCTACGTCAATGAGTAGAAATAGAGATAGCCGCACGCAACATGCAACCAAAATTATTCGTTTTCACATCTTGGTCCGCCACTCTCCTATCTCATATACCCTCCTACACGTAGCCTATCAAATGTGAGGAGCGAGAGCGTCGTCTCGTACCTTAGAGAACTTTCCATGTAACCTTTACTTCTCGGCTCTAACTAGGTAACGAGATGGCTGCCTAGTGGTTATGGAAATGATGTGTGATATCATCTATAAGAGGTAGTCGGGTGTATAAAGCCAGGAGGAATTCTATGATAATAAGGATAAGTAATTCAAGTTCGCGAAGGACTCACTGGAATAATCCTAGTTGTAGTTTACACATTTCCTCAGGTATGTACGAATACTTGCCAGTTATATCCGAGCCCTGTCCTAAAAAGCCCTTTCCCAGCTAGATATCATCATGTGCGATTGGGAACGGACACTCTGCTCCAACTGCAACCGCGTCATCCAGGACAAATGCATCGACCCCTGCATCGACGCTTACCACGCAGTATATACAGACGGAGCAAATGTGCAGATTGTTTATAGAAAATGCGGGCCTTGCAGCAGACCTACACCTCCGCCTTGATACAATATGGACGAAATCATTAGAAGGGTTAGATGAGGTCTTCGGAGTATGAAGGTGAACGGCAGCGCCCTTTCCGTTCTATTGTGAAGATTGGGGTCTTTTGTGGTCGTGATGGGGGATCAAGCGGGACAAACTCTCAGACTAGGTGCTGCTTTTCATACGGTCGACGTTGAATGGCGTGGTTTTTCAGGGGTTAACTTGTCCATATCGCCTGTCTCTTTTGTAATTAGTTACCAGTTAGCTTGGCGTCTATGGTTCTGTTATTCTATCGCTGGCAGATATCACGATACCCGAAGAGCTACTCTGATTCGTGTACAGCAGAAATTATATATGTACCGTGAAATAGTTGGAAAGTTGATGTTTAGCTCAGCGTCCTAAATACATATAATATGTAAAGGGATCAGGCTCGCTTGAGCCTTAGGGGGGTTACCATTTGAAAGCATCGAACTAGGGTTACTCTTCTTTCTGATATGTAACTTCGAATCCTTTCTAGGTTCTGATTTGAGGATATGATGGCTTGCATGCTATTTTTATCCTCTTATTTCCGAGCATACCAGACGCAATTATAACATGATATATCCAACCTTGTAACAACCAGTGAACGCGTTAGAGGTCGTCAGCATTGTGGGGGCGAATGATACCTTTCAACTTGCGTAACGTACCGTAGGTACATCATAACTATTGTGAATCGTTAAGCCCAGTTAAGCAGACCCGTCAGCCTGAGTACTGAGTGTATGGATCAACCGTTGCTAACTTATTTGCAGACTCATCGTCTAGATACGACGAGTGATAGGGTTTAATGGCGAAGTAGTCTCCTACGCAAGTCTTGTTAGCCCTTGAGTTAGTAAACAATAGACGCCTCGAAAATTTAGTGAATGCGCTAGAAGTTCCCCGTTCTCAATTACTTCACTTGGAATGTAAAAAGGGAAGCCTTGAGAGAGGTAGACCCGAAACACGTTGGGCGTCTTATATCAAGATATTCAGTAAGTACCTAGGTAGGTAGTATTGATAATGAGGTATTCAGAAAATTTCCAACATGTTCCTACTTTAAGCACCAAACTCATCAACTATACCAACTTGGGTCTCACGCATAAAACTTCCTAGGCCAAATGTTCATTGCAGTCTTCAAGCCCTCCGTCACAGGTAGTCCCGCGTGGATGGTCCGCTGATCTCCTGTGCCATTCTGAAAGAGGTTAACCCAGAACAGCGCATTCCCGGCCACCGGTCTGAAAGCTAAACCGCCATCTTCATGATTCCTCCAAATTTGCCGTCCCTCCTCGTCTGTCTTTGATAAAACTGTCGTGTTCACATAAGGGAACCACGTCTCACCGCCAGTACACTTGTCCTCCAAGATAGCGAAGAAGCTGGCAATGCGATTCCAACTCTTTCCACGCCCTAGCATGCCACGTCGTGTTGGCTGCGGTCGATCGTACCAGTCGTGGTGTCTGTTGAAGCGCTGACCGGCAGTATAGCGAACGAGTTGCGGTGGGCCTATGTCATCTCGAGATGGGTCTAGCATTGTACCGAGGAAGGTTTCGGCGCGAGTCAATACACATCCTACTGCGGGGTTATCTCGTGGTATCCCAGCGGACGACGAGGTGCGGTCCTGTGTGCCTTGGTTATGACCGCTCTTATAGACTCGAGACGGAGCGAAGGCAGATTCACCAGCTTCGAGCAGAGCTTTTATCTCGGTCGACGCGAGAAAAGATTCAATATAGATGACAAGGGGATCTATGGAAACAATCTCGGTGGTATAAGGATGAGGAAGACAAGTAAAGGATGGTGTTAGTGTTTCAGCATCTTGACTATATATCTTAGGAGTTAACGGGGAGAACGAGACGAGATACGGAAATATTTTAATGATAGCTTGGGATGCGATTTGATAGATGACAGGAGCTAATAAAGTGGCTATAGCGACAATCAATGCCGCAATGCCCGAAGATCGAAATGCTGGACCCATGATAGTTTACAACCAAAATAAACTATTTTCAGACTAGTCGACGCCACGCGAGCATAACTTGTATCGACGCAGCCGTCTAACGAACTTCAGTTTGACCGCTAAAAATTATAGTCGAGCGTAATTCAGAAAGATCTAATCGCTCTCCGAATCACCCAAAGTACATCTTCTACAACATATGATCCCCTCCATGCGCTCGGAGTGACTTGTTCCGACCAAACCTTCTACAGAACTATTGAAGCTAACCATTGCCGGTGGCATGAGTGGTGACACCGCATGCAGGCTGAAGAGCCTGGATTCTCCGAAATGGAGGGACGCGATCCATTGGAGAGCTAGGTACGAAATTGGTTACCCAATGCGACATATGAATTCATGCCCATGCCCGGATGGGACATTTACGAACGTTGACCTACCTATGGGAATTAAACAATGACAATAATTATCAAGGGTGTGCCAACCATAAGATCCAATTTCATGCTACGAACGGTATATGTGACTAATAATATCAGGATTGGATATCAATGCTAATATTAACTCATCTTGGACTTGGTTGAGGTTATCTCAGGGTTTTATATAAACTCTTTGTTCTTTGTTTAGGGTTATAGCAAGAGTTTTTGTGTTAGAGTTTATGGATCGCAGTTGATATAATACATGTTTTCAGCTAAGTGCAGCAAGGTTGCAATAGTGTTTTATAGCCACGGGTTTATTCAGCAGGTTATATATAGTTCTTTTCCAATAATAAGTACACCTCTAGTTTGTTTAATTATCTTAAGTGACCACGGAGTTCACTAAGGATGATAACCCCTATAAAAAGAAACAATGGTTGAAAAAAAATTACTACCTGAGCAAAAGATTAAGATCTCTCGATCGGGGAATTGAACCCCGGCCACCTGCGAATTTATCATAACGTATTACCGGAATGACAAGCAGGTATCCTAACCACTAGACGAATCGAGATTTTTAAACCATCGCATACGTTGACGACGCTAGTTGGCTTTAAGTGGAGATGGTATAACAACTTAGTCGCTTGTTCATATAAATGTTTACAGTCGAAACCTTGTGGGCCGTGGAACATTGATCCAGCGAAGTCCGTCGTCAAAATCATATATCATTCCAATTACCAAGCCGGTATCCATGGGCTCGTAGCATGTCTAGATAGGCTCTTCATAACCAAAGCGGATTCTGTAAGGTACACAGTGTTTCTGAGTGAAGTGATTAATTGTCCTATTTTTTTTTATTTTTTTAAAAAAAAAAAAAAAAAAAATTCAAGCGTACAAGTGCGTTTATAAACTTAGAACTCGCTTCCAGGTAAATTGAACTCTACAATTTTGTTTGGAAGAGCTTTGTATACCCCAAGAGCCTGCAAGACTATAATCACAGCACCCTTCTTAAGCCGTCGCTTGACTTATGCACGTATACACAAGTATTGGAGAAAAGGGGTAGAACTCTAGAATTATAGGGGCGATTTAAAAGCTTATTTCCCACGCCAAGGACTGCGCTCAAAACAAGACTTGTCCTACCAGATACGGCTCCACATTAGATTAAATATTACACCAACGCATCCTAAGCATGCTTCTATAATCTAGGTGCATACGGGTTACCAACCTTATAAGGAGTTCGTTTTACCATTGAAACTATAGAATATTTACAAATGTCTGATTATGGCGCGGATCCTCAGTTACTGTTGCTCCGTCGGCAGTATATGCAGCTGTTTGAACCTGATTTCCTCGCTTGGCCGCCAGCCAAGTTCCTTAAGGATGTAGATGTCCAGAAATGGCTTCATAAACATCTCTTCGATGCAAATAGAAATCAGAGGTTGCCACCCGAGGCGTACCAAATGCGAGTTTTGAAAAAACTCGTGGCAAAGGTCGAGAAGGAAACAGAGAACCCAGAACTAGCTGTAAGTCACATATTCAAATCATTTCTCTCACTCGGAAATTAATGGTCATGGGCTTGAACTCTTAGCAGGGAGTCTTAAGAGAGCTTGCAGCATGCCTTGAGTCCTTCGTAGCCAAGGGGGTTTCATCAGAATTCCATACAGCTCAAGAGGAGACATATGTAACATTTACCTGCTTACCAGAGAAGTATGACCTAGATAGTAGTCATAACTGCGAGTCAGAACCTACAGTGACGTTGCTTGAACGGCGAAATTTGGTATCCGGCTCTCAAATAACGGGTTTTCGAACCTGGGAAGGATCTCTCCATCTGGGCTCATACTTGCTAACTGATGCTGGTTCGCAAATTATCCATGGAAAGAATATCCTAGAGTTAGGCGCTGGCGCCGGGTTTCTCAGCATCCTCTTAGCTAAGCACTTACATGCAAAGCACGTAACTACTACAGATGGTGATGAAGGGGTAGTCGAATCAATGAAAGAGAATCTCTCATTGAATGGTCTTGATAACCAAGAGAAAGTCCAAACAGGGACTTTAACATGGGGATATGATCCTTGGGAGACGTGGATTAAAGATGATTGCGATGCCAACCCGTATGAAGTGGTAATTGGTGCCGACATCGTGAGACCCCATTTAATCGTCGTTCAAACTGGATGCAGGGCGCTAATGTAGTGCATAGACATATAACAAGTCAGCAATATCTGCTCTGGTGTCGACTCTGCATAAACTCATTGAAAGAAGACCGAACCTTAAAGTCATCATAGCGGGCGTGGTCCGGAATGCGGAAATATTTCAAGCGTTTAAAGACGAATGTGGTAAGTATTTGGAAATGTCAATGTAAGTGCGAGCTCGAAACGCTAACAAATTCCCGCTCCAACATTCGCAGCTTACCGCCTTTTCGCTGTGGAAGAGGTAAATTTCGAACCAAAGCCGATGCGTCAACAGAAATCACTCTTTTATGCAGCAGCTATGCCTATCAAAATATTGTCTATCACTGGTCCCCGGCTAAACCGTTCCGATATTTCACCTACTCTGATTTCTAAGAGTTAATTTTAGTCTGGACAAACCCTAGTATTGAAAGCCGCGCCTATGGCGGTAAGATACATACACGACCTTATGTAAAGAAACACCTCGGTGAGAAATGTTTTGTAGGTTAGGTTTCCCGATGGAATAGCCATCTCGGTATCTTTATAAACCGCAGGGTTTCATCCAAGAATAGCGAAATACTTGAGGCTGTGTATTTTAACCTAAGCATGCAATATCACTCCTACTAAGGGTTTAACTATGAATACAGCAAGATGAATATCAGGGGGCATGATGCACTAAGTGTATATCTAATGGCAATGTATTAAAAAGAAGTCGTGAGACCTTTCTAAGTATCATATGAATGTCAAATGCTGAGCGCCTGGAAATAGGTTGTCTTGCGAATATTTCCCGGCAGCGTCCTCCCCACTAAGTCTATAAACTTTTCCTCTTTATCCCTTCATACCGTCAAGCAAACTTCGGCTTCAAGATCGTCGGTGGTGCCGCGACGCTTTAACTGCTTTTCTTGAGCTGGGGTCCAAGAAATCCCAGGACGGCCTCTCGAACACCTTTCTCGTTATGGGCTACTCCGTCAACAACGTCGAACTGTGTCTTGATACCGAGCTTCTCCCAAGATGCGCGGAGCTCCTTTATAGATTCCAGGCGGGTCTCATTCATAGGGGGTAATCCTCCGCTGCCGAGCACATTCTTCTTCCACTCCCAGAAGGCTTCATCACCGTGAATCTCAGTATCATTACCGCCAACGACAAGCTGGATGGGAAGCTTTCCGATAACGTTTGGCTGCACTGTCTTGTCGAATACGGTCTTCACATCTTTTGTTCCAATGGGCCAGTCCTGGGTATCATCGATGAACGTAGGACGTCCGGGGGCACCTATGCTGATAGCGGCTAGCTTTTCGGGGTAGAGGTACATAAAACGGTGGGCGAACTGGCCACCACCAGAGAACCCCATCATGTACACCTTTTCCATCTCGAGGCCAGGCCAGCGGTAAGCTACCTGGTCAAAGACCTGTAAGAGAGCCTGGTCCGAACGGAGCGAGTCGCTCTTGAGCTCCTTGTATGAGTCGAGGTCGTTAGGCCCATCCATGCCGGCGGGAAATAAAGGCGAGAGAATAGCACAGGGGGCTGAATCGGCAAAGGGAACAAGCTCATCGTATATGGCAACGGTGTTCCGGCCAGTCCCGTGGATGTAAACGAGCAAAGGAAGTTTCTTGGGTGTTTCACTTTTACTCGGGTCCGGGTTGTAATGCGCCTTTGGGATGTACAGAGCGTAAGAAATACGCGGATCGGCTTGTAAGGCCATCAGGGGAACGTGGTCCACGAAGTAAACATCCTCGAGGAATTCCGAAGGCATATTGGCTGTCGTTAGAGCATCCTCCATACCCACGGGCACTCCGCTGGCCGCTAGAGCTCCATTGAGCCCTAGGAAGGAAGATAGGAGTAATTTGGATCGCATTTCGACTTGGGTATTGTGAGAGTTTGCGAAGAAGACGAGTTCAAGCACCCCAATAGATGGAAAGATAATAATATTAACCTGGATGGTGTTTTGAAGGATGAAGAAACTATCTCAAACTATTCGACCTAGACGAGCCCATCTTATAAGACATTCTCTCTACGAGATTACGCATGGCCCACCCGCAGCGAGCAACTCTAAGATCGGCGTCAAAACTACCCCTTATTCTCAACACGTGAAGAATTTAACTAGTTGATCAAGTATTTAGCTAATAATTGTAGGGTTAAGTTCGGCTACTTACCCTCTTTGAGCCGCGGTCCTATGGTGTATATGGTTCGGGCGAAACCCGGGCTTTTGGCCGTAACCCGCAGTACGCCTAACCAAGGAACTCTACTACAACTTTTCTGCCTTATATATAATAGAGGTGGAAATGACAACGTGCGAAATCGCATTTCCTCGGAAGGTTGAGGCTGTGTTATCAATTCACAGTATATATCTTATAGTGAGTTATCACGAGATATCGATGTTCTAGTACGTACTTGAGGTACATTGCAATGAGACCAATTCTAGATTGTGTTAAGAGGTATCTCAGATGGGAATACAAGTAAATTTTAAGCGGTACGATATATAGAGAACCTATTAGATACAGTATTGGGAGAGAGCATGAGTTTTTTTTGCTATTGGTATAGGCCGATTAGGAAGATAACATATGAAGCTATTACGCATTAGTTGGAGTATCGGGTTTTCATGCGAAGTCAATCTGATTCGCCGACGTGGCTAGGTATGTAACAGCGATATATGGCCACATTAGTCAGATATCTCTACCGAAAGATTTAACATATTCAACACATGGTAAAACGGTTTGTTTCTGGTCCTTTTTACGATCGTGTCAGTCGGTATCAAAATGACAGGGTTAACATCACATCTACCAAAGTGGGACTTAGAAAGACAATGAAGAATCTATAAACCTATCTTCAACATGTGAACCGATAACCCATGTAGAACTTGTCATGCCTACCATGTACTGTAAAACCGTTCTCGGAAGCTTCCGTAATGTTTGATACATGTGTATGATGTATCATTATCTAGAGGCGACTATCCTTAAACATTTAGAACACGATCTCGGCCTACGATGTGAATATCTCCTGAGTGTTAACCCCCTTTCCGTTGCCACGAAGGTGGAACAGCGAGATTGGCTTAGAGTAGCGAAACCTCGGCTTCTCTTTCTACAATCGGTGTAATGTTTACATGCAATGTAGAAGGTAAGTGGAGTTACGAGTACCTTGGTTGGTAATCTGTAATATCTATCTTGGGTATGGTTGCTATGGATGTTCGGCCGCTCCGATCATATCTTGAGTTCTATCTATCTTCTTCGACCTCCATGTTGATTGTAGCGTTTGATGAAACACTAGGTTAAACAAGAGAGGCAAACAGCTCTAACAAAAGGGGTTTGGACTTCAAGTAATATTGAGCAACTAGCATGCTACATTGACGCTTAAGCTGCTACTTGACGCCAACTAGAGTAACATATTATATAATACAAAGCCCACTTCGAACTTGCCTCCTTG